TCCTATCCTCTTGATTCATTCCGTAACTTGTTTTGGTTGGTCGATGGAATTTAATGATGTTAGTTTTCAACAAGTGTAATGACAAGAGTTTGGTTTGACTAATTGCTACAATCATTTGCAAATTGGTTTTTTTTTTTTTTTTCGAAAACCACAGTAGGATTATATTAGATATTCAAATTGTTACATTAGTAGCGTCTAGATGAGCTCTGCTGACTTTCTCCCTACTAACTTTACGTACATTGCTATTATTAGGATAGAATGGCATTAGATTTTTGATGGGATATCTGTCGAAAATGCAGGTGGAGTGAAATCGTAAACCATATGTGCTACAATATGAAGTAGAATAATTTGAATGTTTTTCTTGGATGGGAAGTTTTATTGTTTCAAAAGGGGACATAGGGTCTGGTAATGTACTTTGCAAGCGCAAAAAATAAAAGTTTTAGGCTTCATTTGAACAAGAGTTTTAAAAAGACTTTTAAGGCTAAAAAGTCGGTTTAGAGTTTAAAATGCGTTTGGACAAAATAATTAAAGTCTTTTCTAAACATCAATTTGAAAAAAAGAAGGTTTGAAATAGACTTTTTAGAAAATAGGTAGGGGGTATTTTTCAATTTTTTAAAACAGTCTTTTAGCTCCGTTCGCGGGTCATAATCCAGGTCGAAAGGGGGTTATAAAAAATCGGATCATGAATATCATTAGCAAGACTAAAAAAAAACGAGGTGCTTTACACGCGATGAGCGGTTCTCTCCCTTCCCATCTTTTCCTCACTGTTCCCTCTGTTATCGGCCCCACTTTTCCTTTTAATTTTTATTTATTTTCACTTTTATCCTATTTTTTCAAATGATTATATCTTTTAATATATAATTATTTAGACAACATATATATCAAATTAATCTACGCGACGAGATCTTTCTATTAAGAACCATTGTTAATATTTTTGAAATTAAAAATTTCATTCAAATTTATATATCAAAATCACTGTATATATTGTTTAACTATTATGTATATGAAAAGATAAATTATTTTTTTTACCAAAAAAGTACTTTTGAAAAAGACTTAATACAAATGCCTTTTTCATATTTTTAATTCGTAAAAGGGTTTTGAAAAATTCTTGTCCAAATGCATTATTTTCCAGAATTTACTTTTTAAACTTTTGTTTCAAACAGACTTTTTTGAACAATTTTTCAAAACTCTTGTCTAAATGGAGTTTAGTTAGGCATTTTGGCTAATTTCAAGAATTCTCATCATCAACTTTTCCATCGAAACAAGTTAACAAATTACTAGTATTTCCATAAACGAATTTTTGAAGTTTCCCAACAAGTCACTACTAATTTTAAACCAGTACTCTTCATATATGCTGAACTATAACATGCAAGAAATTTTTTTTAACAAAATATATTCGAAAATGTTTGTTTCTCACCGTATTAAAAAATAAATTGAGTTAGGATTAATTCAATTGATGTAATTGTTGCAGCTGGGCTGCCTTTAGAAGAATTTCTTGGGCTTTAACGGATTAATTTCCTTTCTTAAGCATGTAATGTAAACTCATAACTGACTGATTAAACAGAGATACCTCCACTGTAAAGAAAATGTACTACTACGAAGTTACTAATAACCAAAATAAATTCAATGGGACTGAGGTGAAATTCACTCCGAAGACAACATCCAATTTCATAAGTTTTAGGAACGTGGCATTTAATGACCCATTAAATGTAGCAGATTTGTTACCACCACAGAGGCTGTATCCAGTATACCCGGGGGCACCGTGCCCCCCCTCCTATTTTTTGCACGAGTAGTCCTTATTGTATTTTTCATCAAACTTTCTATATTTTACAAGTATAGTCCCTGTCATTGTTTCTCTCTCTTCTAAAAAAAAACATCTCTAATCTTTCAATGACCATATCTCATAATCCGTAAAGAATTAGAGAATGTGTTATGCATGAAAATTATAGTACTTGTCGAGATCTATTCAACAAGATCCATTTCGAATATTTTTTTTGAGTTTAAAAATGATCAAATTTCTTTGGGCAGAATAAGTTGGATATCCAGTAAGTTGGATAACCAGTATGCACGAGTTGGATAACCAGTATGAACAAAGTGGATAACCAGTTCAAACAATTTGGATAACCATGTAAATCCATTGGATAACCAGCATTAGCGCATTGGATAATCCAGTACAAACCAATGATTGGATAACCAATACAAACGAGTTGGATAACCAACTTAGTTTATTATTTTTTAAAAAAATAATAAAAACAAAAACCAGGTTGGATAAATAATACTAATTAGTTGGATAAACAGTATTAACATAAATAATCAAGATGGATAACCAACTTATTTTACATTCATATTATTCCTTTCCTTGTATCTAATGATTCGTAAAGAATTATAACATGAATTATATATGAAATTTATAGTACTCGACGAGATCTATCCGATAAGATCCATGTTGAATATTTTTTTTGAACTTTAAATGCATTTAAATTTTACGGGCAGAAATGAAGAAATGCGTTTTTCGTTTTTCTTTGAAAAATAGTTATCCAATCGGTTTGGACTAATTATCCATTATGTTCGTACTTGTTATCCAATCATATGTTTGACATTCACTCTTCAAAAAAAAAAAAGATGGATATCCACCTCTATTCTATTCTGCCCGTCAGAATTAAGTCATTTTTAAGCCCGAAAAAATGTTCACTGTGGATTTCGTTGGGTAGATCTCGACGAGTACTATAAATTTCATATATAATTTGTTCACAAATTCTTCACGGATTGGGAGATATGCTCGTTGAAAGATTAGAGTTGGATATGCATACAAACCAAATGGATGGATATCCAGTACAAATAAGTTGGATAACCAACATGAACACAGTGGATAACCAGTTTAAGAAGATGGATAACCAACTTATTTTACATGCATATCGTTGTGTTCCTTGTATCTTTTGATTCGTAAAGAATTATAACATGAATTATATATGAAATTTATAGTACTCGACGAAATCTATCCGATAAGATCCATGTTGAAATTTTTTTTGAACTTTAAATGCATTTACGGGCAGAAAATGAAAAAATGTGTTTTTCGTTTTTCTTTGAAAAATGGTTATCCAATCGGTTTAGACTGATTATCCATTATGTTCGTACTTGTTATCCAATCATATGTTGGAGATTCACTCTTCAAAAAAAAAAAAGATAGATATCCACCTCTATTCTATTCTGCCCGTCAGAATTAAGTCATTTTTAAGCCCAAAAAAATGTTTACTGTGGATTTCGTTGGGTAGATCTCGACGAGTACTATAAATTTCATATATAATTTGTTCACAAATTCTTCACAGATTGGGAGATATGCTCGTTGAAAGATTAGAGTTGGATATGCATGAACACAGTGGATATCCAGTACAAACAAGTTGGATAATCAACATGAACACAGTGGATAACCATTACAAATAATTTGGATAAGCATGTAAGTCCATTGGATAACCAGTATTAGTGCATTGGATATCCAGTTTAAGAAGATGGATAACTAACTTATTTTGAATTAAGAAGTTGGATAACCAAATGGATAAGCAGTAGAAACAAAATGGATAACCAGTTCAAACCGATTGAATAATCAGCATGAACACGATGGATAACCAATTTAGAACAAGTTGGTTATCCATCTTGTAAAACTGGATATCCACCCCTATTCTGTCCATCAGAATTAAGTGATTTTTAAGCCCGAAAAAATATTCACTATGGATTTTGTTGGATAGATCTCGACGAGTACTATAAATTTCATATATAATTTGTTCACAAATTCTTCACGGATTGGGAGATATGCTCGTTTAAAGATTAGGGATGTTTTTTTTGGAAGAGAGAGAAAAAAACTCACAGGGACTAAACGTGTAAAATATAAAAAGATTGAGAAAAAAGTACAATAAGGACTAAAAATGTAAAAAATAGGAGGGGGGCACGGTGCCCCCGGGTATATTGGATAATTTGCCCCACCAGAAGAAAGCATTTAGTCAAACGTGAAAAAAGTTTTAGGCTCATCAATTCTGTTATTTATATACTGCATCTGTCCCGTAATTATTGTTCAGTTTGAGTTTTTATTTTTAATCTAAATTGTACTAAAAGTGAAATCTCAAACTGGACAATAATTTTGGGACGGAGGGAGTAGTACTTTATTTATTTTTTTTTACCGAAAATAAGCAAATTAATATAACTACCTACCCAAAAGAAGAAAAATATTATGTTCGCACGCCATTATTGTAAAAAAAAAATCCAAAGATGTCGATGTGAACCTTCTTTAATTGCTCTTTTTGAAGAAACATATAGACTTGTCAAATTTTCATTCTCACGCAAGTGTTTGTCTTGTACTTTTTAAAATATATTCTATAAGTCATGCACCATAAGAATTTGTAAAAAAAAAAAACATTTATTCTTCTTCTTCTTCTTCTTCTTCCATCATCACATCTTCAAGTGTATCTATATACATTGAAGTAGAAGATAGAACACATAAACACAATGTATTATGTGACAATGAACGGCAATATAGAACACCACATTAGCAATTAAGTTAGTTTTTACATTTCTCTCAATCCAATAATCTGTGTTTTCTAAATCTCAGAAGTTTAAAACGTTATGCATGACTTTTTGTTTCAATTATTGTTATCTTATTTTCAATATCTATACATAAAAATTATGTCGAAATACTAATACACAAGGTAACATTTATATATAGAAAACAACGACATGCATGGTGGAAAAGCTTCGTTAGAATAATAAATAATCCTAGAAAAAACAAAAATAAGAAAACCAAAACATATAGTAATAGAAAGGTTAGATAAGATGAATAATTGCGTGTCAGAAATTCGAATAAACAAATTGAGAAAATAAAATTACATGAAGAAATGACTAGTACGTGGTGGTAAATGGATACCACTTGTATAAGTGGGACAAAAGTGCATTAACTACTTCACTGCATTATATAAATCTAGAGCCAGAGGCATAATGCATGCCAAGCTAACCCCCAAATAAAGAAGGAAAAAAAAAAAAAAACATAAGTAACGCTCCCCATATTTTTCTCATAAATTGTTTCATACTTTCCAAAGCCATGGGCAACAAGCTCCAATATCAGTCTGCTTTCTTAGCCTTAGCATTTTTATTTGCTACATTAATTTCCATTGCTGACGGAACCCTTGTTGGAAATCCTCTGGGTTCCGGCTCCGGCCGCCAACAACCGAAATCTCAAGTGATTCCGATTATGAATGCATCCGGACCGGAGAGCTTAGCGTTTGACAGGCTCGGTGGTGGTCCGTATACCGGCGTTTCCGACGGCCGGATCATCAAATGGGATGTTGAGAACAACCGGTGGATCAATTTTGCTGTTACTACACCTCATAGGTATGCAGAATATTTATTGTTCTTGTCATTAATTCTGCTGGATGAATTGTAGTGTCTTCATAATTTCCCAAATGAAATATTTTTTTTTTATTTATTTTTTCTTGAAATTTAACACATGTAATAAAACCTAGTGACATGTCATAAAATGCCTGCAGGAATCTGTTCACAATAACTTAATTTATGCACGTTTTATGTTGCCATTTCGTAGGGTAAAGAAGATGGCTTGATTCATAAACTTTCTACTTCTGCAATGTCTTCTTTTTTCCTTCCATAGTTTTTTACTTTTCTTTTCTTTCTTTTTTTTTTTCCTTTTTTGTGTTTCTACGTGCCAACCGCCAAGCGATTTATAAGATATATTCCTTCTGACTCAAAAATTATTCTTATATTAAAAACTCAGAAGTTAAGCATAATTAAGGCAATCGAAAGAGTTGCCAGTTGATATATCGTTGAAATATCCTTAGTTATTAATCTATATTATCTTTTCAGAAAAATAGTATCTTTATTTCTGAAAGAATAACAAATCCATAAACGCTAAGGTTAAAAAAATGAATCTGTGAAGAGAAGTGTTGTAAGATGGTCTAAAGTCTACAGTTTCAAATATGATGAAACTGATCAGATCGAAGCCTTCTTAAGACTTTGAGGTACATATATAAAGTAGAAAAAAAGAAAATTATTTTTACCTTTACTTTGTCGGGTTTGTACAGTGAGAGCATCACAAAAATTATTTAAAAAGAGGACCCTTTTAAAATATTAGTATTAGCAACAGTTGTGGTGCAAAGCTGGAAAAGGAAAAAAGAAAAAAAAATACTCCATCTTTACATTAGAATACTTTTTTGTTAATATATGATTATTAGTTGGAACAGTAGAGAATTTATTAATGGTTATATACCAATATATATATATATATATATATAATTTATTATGAAGACACAATGCATGTAAAAGAAACTTGCTTCTAAATTTTTTTCACTTCCTTTTTATTTTTATTTTTTATTTTTGGAAAACGCAGTAATCATAATATTAGGGCTATGGAAGAAAAAAAATTACAAATACTATTTTCCGTTTTTTTTTGGTAGAATATTTTCCGTTTTTGGTAAATACTATTTTCCGTTTTCCCTTTCTTCTTTCGTGGTATATAAGCTAAAACGCAAACGTTTATCAAGAGAGTTTGCTTCATTCAAGTTGATCTTGAACTTCGTGACCCCTAATTATAACGGTTCATTTTATTTATTACTTTTTTTTTGGGGGGAGTTGATTTTCAATAAGAAATTAAAGTTTAACTATCACATCGGGGAGGGGTTTGTTAAATATCCAAAGAAACAATTTCAATTGGTAGACAAGTTTAATCTGTTTGAAAAAACCCGCTGTCCATATCCAAAAGTATCATCAATGTAAGTTAGAATGCTTCAAATTTGTCTTAAACCAAATCTTCCGACATGGATGTCATATGAACTTAATGCTCGAAAATTACCCGCTAACTAATTTAAGAAAAAAACCATTTAATGATCCAAACGATAGGATGGTAACCACGAGAATGGAAATTGTAATTCGGTAGTTTGGACAATGAATCGAACCATTCAAGTAATTACCGCATTGTACATTTTGCTCTTTTTAATTTTATAATTTACATGTTTTTAATTCTCTCCGTACTAATATGATCGTTATTTTTGTTGCTCCCTCTATCTTAGAAAACTAATCCATATTAAGTTTTAAAATTTATATAGAAAACAATACTCGATATGAACCAGTATTTCTTATGGTACAGAGAGAGTAATTTATTATCTGAGTATAACAAATAGGATAGAGGAAATAAATGATCTCACAGTACCAATAAAATAAACTACTCCATCTATCTCGAAATGATTATCTAGTTTAAGTTTCATTTTTAATATAAATGATACTAAAATGAAAATCTATTAGAGAATCATTATAGAACATAAAGAGTATTCTTTAGAAAGAAGGAAAACAACATAATTCCAGAATTGCCCTTCCCTCGCAATGAACGGAAAAACAACAAAGATATATTTAAAAAACTTCATAATCTTGCTTTAAATTAAAAGCTTGGATAAAGGATTTATGTCGGTAAGAGCAACAACAACAAGATATCGACATTTCAAAGATTTTCAGGAGAAAGGCCATAACGATAATTCATTGTGTGCTTTCCCTTTTGAGGACGACACCACAACACAGAATTCAACCGTTTAGTCATTTGGCAATACTACTATTTTGTTAGGTGATCATATTTATAACCCCCGAGTTTCGTTTCGTCCCTTTTGGACGAATGGGCGTACTTTTTTTAATAAATTAATTTTTGCACCTGATTAGTTAATTTGTTTTTAGTAGTAACTCCTTCCGCACCAAACTATGAGTCATGCATGTTTGTTTCAGTTAACGAATAAGTTTTTTTTTTTTTTTTTTGACGTACCTCTATTTTGTTTGTTTGTTTGTTTGTGTTTTTTTTTTTTAGTTTTATTGTAAGTGCTTGCTTAAAATCTAAATTAGGTAATTATTTTATGACGAAAAGAGTATTTAAAAATGATAATCAAGCTAGTACGGTATTTATCGAACTGTGTCATGCATCGTGTATGATATGATAAACACAATATGTAGGGAAACTAAGGCTTTGTTTGTTTAATTTTTTATGGTATTTTTAAATTTAAATATTAATGAATGTCCCATCCCAGCATATTTTTTTTACAATTTTAATACACTAATTTCCAATACAAAAAATACCTAAAGCCACACACTAAAAAAACAAAACAACTCAAGCTCAAGATTAAAACGTTTTTATATAGTATATAGGTTAGCCCATTCTTCTCGTACACAAGGACCATAAAGAACTTGCCCCGGCTTCACAATAACGGATTTAATATGAACTTACAATGTAAATTGTGGATGTTATCCTCACCAAGTTTCTTCCTTTTGCTACTAATTTTTTTTCCACAGTTACTCATTTTATTTAATCATTTTTTATAACGAAACTTAGAAAATTTTTATTTTGGAGACTCAGATGGGGCTGCGAAGGGTCGCATGATCATACACTGACAGAAGACAGATGTGGGCGCCCGTTGGGCCTAAGTTTCAACCTACGGACTGGTGATCTTTATATTGCTGATGCATATATGGGTCTACTTGTGGTAGGCCCTCAAGGTGGGTTGGCTAAACCACTTGCAACTCAAGCCCAAGGCATTCCATTCAAGTTCGCAAACGCCGTGGTAGTTGATCATAATAGTAGTGTGGTGTATTTTACAGACACCAGCACCGTCTTTCAAAGAAGGTAACCGCTCTCTCATTGAATAAATTATTCAGTACAGTTGTTGTATTACGTAAGATTGTGCAGTCATACACAATAATAAGGTAAAATAATAATTTTAGGGGGAGAGAGATAATTTCTACAGGAGTTATACCACCAAAATAAGAAAGTGCTAGTACTTGTTGCACTAAAAATCAGGATACAGTAACTGCACTCAATAATTTTTCCTCTCATTTAGCCAAACATTTTTGTTGCCTTTTCTTTGTAGCCAAAACTTTCTTCTTTTTTACAAAACAAGATTTCACTCTCCCTCGGAGAAATATACTCAAAATATATAATGATCAAAATTGGATTTTTAGTACAACATTTCCTGATAGAAAGAGTAGTTCATTTGTGTTTTGTCCAATCATTTCAGTTTAGTAAAACAGAGAGTAAAGTGATAATTGAATGACAACCTAGTGATTACTGTCCTTCCTGGTAATAGACTAGAGTTCGATTCCTATCAGGGCAGTGGCGGAGCCAGGGGTAGCCAGCCGATGCAACATCACCCCCTCCGATTTTAATTTTTTTATTAATTTTAATATAATTATTAAGAAAAAAACTATAATAGATTCATTTTCGCACCCCCTTTAAAAATTTATGCACAAATATTTGAAACATTATATATTTTTTAATGCTCAATCTATGTAAATCTTAACTTAAAAAATATGACATGTATCAAACATTCTTTTCAAAAAAATTAAGTTGAAACAATAAGAAACAATGTTAATTCAAGTTAATCATATTGTTTTCTTCATTTTTAATGTGGTAGAACGAACTATGCATAAAATCAATCAATTAACTTTTGTTTCTACTCACTGAATCATATAATATGTATATTGAAAAAAAAAGTGAACCTCAAAATATATAACTTCAAGTTGCAAAAAAATATAAGAGATATTTACGAATTGTTTCTAAAAATTTGTAATGTATTTTTGTAAGGAAAAGAAAAATGTATTTTGGTTTTTTTAAGACTAAATATTTTTCTGTATTTAAAAATCTTGCTCCATTTAATCTCACTTCACACCCCAAGTCCAAAATTCTAGCTCCGTCACTGCATCAGGGGTTGTAAGGGGGGTTTCACCCACATTTAAGTAGGGTTCATTAGGGTGGATTTTTTAAAAAGATTTTGGTTTAAATAGAGAGTAAAGTAGTACAAAGAAAAGAGTGAGTGGAAAAAAAATTGGCAACGTGGTGAACTTTCTAATTAGGGTCAGTCTTAATAGAGAGTAAAGTACTACCTCCGTTACACAAAAATAGTTCACATTGAGTTTTGAGTTTTGAGTTTTGTACTTTTTTTAGTATAAATTTGAAACTCAATGTGGACTATTTTTGTGGGACGAGGGAGTAATACTTTATACTTGCTTGATAAGTGACCACCGTGGATGTTTTGAAATAAAAAAAAAATGAATTTAAATGTGATATTTATGGTACTGGTAAGGGAAACAGATGATCCCACTGAAATTGAATTCATACCTAAACTTTATTAATTTGGAGCAGAACAATTCCACTTGCAACAACAAAAAAAAAAAGAAGCAAAAAGGATAACGTTATCTGCCTGTATAAATCTATAAGGTGGTTCCTTTGCCACCGATCCTATCTATGCATTTCCAACTGTTCTTCCTTGGCATTTGGTCTCAATATCATCAATAATGTTGGTTGACATTTTTGAAGATTCAGTATCATTATTTAGGTAAGAGTTACTCCCGCCACCCTATGAGAGTGGTAGGTGCTATATACAGTATGTAGGAATGAGACTCTTCTCATCCAATCCAAAAAATAATTTATTTTTATTTTAACTAAAACAATTTGACAACGTATATTGTCATGGGATGAAAAAAATTTCATATATTCAAAAATGAGATTGTTATGTTTGATCTATGAAAAACCCTAATAAACATAGCCATTTTTGTTGTCATTTCAAGAATTGAAGTTTGTTGAATCGACTTTGGCCTCAAAATAATTACTACCTCTGTTAAAAAAATAGTCTGAATTGAATTTTAAGATTTACCCTAGTATTAATACAAATTTAAAAATTCAATATTGACTTTTTTTTTCTTTGAGACTGAGTATTATATTTATTGTATTGAAAACAATAAAAAGTTAGACAATCATTTTAAATTAGAAAAAAGTACAGAATCCACAAGCCCTAAAATCATAAACTTACATCATTGTATTAATCAATGAAATATGTACATCACACCTAACAATATATAGGACATGGGGCCTCGTTTAGTCAAGTGGATGTTTGTTGAATTTAATTAAATAGTATGAAGAGACAAAAAAGAAAGCTGATTATCTGTGTTATATATCCACTCACCCATAATTAATTCCATTCCGATGAGAGTTTTATTTGTTGAACTATTTCATAAACGCGAGTACACTTATGTGAAGACGGAAAATGTATAATGTACAGTTTAATCCTCAGTCAGTAGCGGAGTTAGGGGACTGGTAGGGTGGTCGCCCTCGCCCGAATTTTTTAAAAACTCCTTTAAATTTTTAGTCTAAATTTCTAAATTCTTAAATTTTTGCATGTTAAATTTTTTTTATACATTTTATTTCGTCCCTCCATTCTACAAATGTCCTCAGTAGTTCTGATATATACGTTGATCCTGTTTTACAAATTGTTAGGGATTATGTTACTGCACTTATCAGTGGGGACAAAACAGGAAGGCTTATGAAGTATGATTTGAGAACCAAACAAGTAACAGTTTTGATGAACAATCTCATGTTCCCAAATGGAGTTGCGCTGAGCAAAAACAAAGATTATCTCCTCGTAGTTGAGACCACAAATTCCAGAATCTTAAGATATTGGCTCAAGAAACCAATGGCTGGGAAGGTGGAAGTATTTGCACAACTTCCAGGTTTGCCTGATAACATCCAAATCAACCACAAAGGTGAATTCTGGGTTGCCATGAACGCGATTAAGTTGACTAATCTTCAAGGGTTTCTCTGGGTTTCGAAACCTCCAGCTGATTTTGACGGGCTTGGATTGGCTGTGAAGCTGAATGAGAATGGGACTATAGTTCAAGTTTTGGAAGATAAAGAAGGAAATGTTTGGAGGTATAGCAGTGAAGTTCATGAAAAATTGGGGAGTTTGTGGATAGGTTCTGTACTGGTGTCCTTCGTAGCGAGGTTAGCGATCTCCGGGCCGTAATTTTCTTGCCGGGAGATTTATTCCGACATCGAAGAGTGAGTTTGAAGTCTAGATGTTTGGGTTGGGAATTGAATGATACTTTTCAGGGAAATTTCTTTAGTGTTCGAAGAGTATTGTTGTAGCATAATTGCATGAGTTTTTATATTTACATTGCAATTGCAAATTCATAGATTGTCTAGCTAGGGTTCCTTAGCATGGTTTTTGTTGTTTGAAAATTTGAATGGAGATGTTTGTAATCTAGTTATTATATGCAGAATTGAAGACTCCCTTAATTTTGTCAATATGATCTGCGCATATATATTAGTTCTTACTGTTTTCACCATCGCACATGAATAGTTTGAGTAAGACGTTTTAAAATGTTTTGGTCCACCGATCCACTCTCTGCGATTTTGATACGATTTTGTCGAATCTTCCTATCAACGAAATGTGTCTTTTTGATTGTATCCAAAAACATAAGTTATTGGTCCAATCTAGAATCAGAGATTTGAATTTCAGCGGAAGCAAAAACAGAAAAATTTGATAATCAAAACTGTGAATCTTGGAGAGAGAGAGAGAACGGTTGAGTCCAGTTTATTACCAACCGAATAATGATAATGAATATAGTTTTTGGAGATTATACACAATTGATAATCGGCTAAGCATAGAAAATCTAACTATTTACAAAATAGTCCCTAACCTTCTAAGTAATTACAAGCTATATAAAAAAAACTAACTTACATCATCATTTATACACTATATACTATGTCCCCTGATCTTGCAATGCTGTATCATCCGGCAATGATTCATGAGACATCTGTACAGCCTCCCCCCCACAAGCTAGCACAGGAAGCAAAGTCTTCATGCCAAGCTTGGACTGTAAAGTAAGGAAAATAGGACGGGGCAGAGACTTTGTAAGAATGTCAGCAAGCTGGTGCTATGAAGGCAGATGCTGCGGAACTAGGAAACCTTTGAGAAACTGATGACGGACAAAATGACAATCCAACTCCAGATGCTTCGTGCGCTCGTGGAAAACGGGATTCTCAGTGATATAAACAGCAGAAAGGTTGTCGCACCATAAAGGAACAGGAAGATGAAGAGGAAGACCAAAATCATGAAGCAAGTAAGAGATCCAAAGGAGCTCACGATTGGTGTAACTCATGCTGCGATATTCAGCTTCGGCATTGGAGCAGGAAATGGTGCTCTGCTGCTTAGCTTTCCAAGAAATCAAGGACTGACCTAAGAAAATGCAGAAACCAGAGACAGACTTGTGCACCACAGGGTCCGAGCCCCAGTCAGCGTCACTAAACGCCTCCAATTTGAAGGAGTTTTGACAAGGATAAAATAAACCATGAGAAGAAGAACCTTTCAAGTATTTTAGGACATGAACAAGAGTTAACCAGTGATCCTGGCAAGGATGCTGCACATGGCGACTGAGTTGCTGAACAACAAAGGTAATATCAGGGCGAGTAAACCCTAAGTACAAGAGTTGACCAACCAATTTCCTATAGGAGGAAGAATCTGAAAGGGGTGCACCAGGTTTATCAATAAATTGATGACCTTTAGGTAAAGGGGTAAGGTTGGGTTTACAGCCTGACAGACCTGTGGTTTTAAGTATATCCAAGATGTATTTTCGCTGAGACAGGTATAAGCCTTCAGCAGTCCGAAAAATCTCAACACCCAAAAAATACTTAGCAGGTCCTAAATCCTTAATGGTAAACTTATGATGAAGAAAGGACTTTACAGAGGCTATGATGGACTCATTAGAACCAGTTATCAGTATATCATCGACATAAATAACCAGAGCAGTAAAGGAACCCTGAATCTGACCAGTAAATAGACAGGGATCATTATGAGACTGAACAAACCCTAGAGTCTGAATTTGGGAAGTAAATTCTAGGTTCCTGCCGAGAAGCCTGCTTTAAACCATAAAGGAAACGCTGTAACTTGCATACCTGATTGCAAGAAGCAGAACCATAACCTTCAGGAGGAACCATGTAGACCTCCTCATCCAAATATCCATGGAGGAAGGCGTTGTTGATGTCGAGTTGATTTATAACCCACTGTGAAGCACTGGCAATGGCTAAAAGCAAACAAACAGTAACAGGCCTGGCGACAGGAGAGAAACTATCATAGTAATCTTTCCCCTCCACCTGGTTGTAACCTTTCGCAACTAAGCGAGCTTTGTACCTGTCCACGCTACTATCAGAATTATATTTAACCTTATAGACCCATTTACACCTAATGGCCCTCTTTCGGACTGGTAAAGGTGTCAAAATCCAGGTGTGATTCTGTTCTAAAGCTTGCAGTTCACTTTCCATGGCTTGCACCCATGCAGGATTAGTCCTAGTCTGAGAATTAAGTTTTTGGTTCTAGAATGGTGTCTAATTTGGCTAAAAAGGACAGATGAGAGTCTAAAAAATGAACATGATCATGTAAAGGAGCAGAAGAAGGAGGTTCAGAAACCACAGTATTGGTAGTATAGTCAGACAGCCACGATGGAGGTTTAGAGGATCTTGTACTTCTACGTGGTAAAGGAGGATTTAGAACTTCTGATGAAATTTGATCCGTATGGGATGGAGTGGAATGAGGAGATAAAGAAGGATCAGGATGGGAGATAGGGGAGGAATGAGAAGAGTCATCATGAGATAATGGATTGGATGAAGTATGAGGTATGGAAGGTGATCATACAAACCAGTCTATGGTGTCATCATATGGAAATGGATCACATGAGGATATAGGGGAAATGTGATCAAAAAGTGTTTCTTGAAGGTAAGGAAAGGTTGTTTCATGAAACACAACGTCTCGAGAAATAATGATTTTCTTGGACTCTAAATCGTAGAGTTTATAGGCTTTTTGGCCTGGTGGATAGCCAATGAAAACAGTCTTAAAAGCCCTGGGATCAAATTTGGATTTGTGTGGTAGAGTGTTGGTTGCGTAACTCAGGCAACCAAAAACTCGAATATGTGAGAGGTTCGGTGGTTTGGAATGAAGAAGTTCATAGGGAGTTTTCCAGTGCAACAGGGAGGAAGGGAGCCTATTAATGATATAGGTTGTCGTAAGAACTGATTTCCCCCAAAATTGTGGTGGTAATCCTGATTGAAATAATAAGGAGCGTGCAATTTGCAAGAGGTGTTTATGCTTTCTCTCTACTATACCATTTTGTTGAGGTGTATAAGGAGCAGATTTTTTATGTAGGATCCCTAATTTGGAAAAAAAGACTGACAATTAGAACTAAGGAATTCAAGGCCATTATCAGATCTGATTATCTTAACTGATTGTTCAAACTGATTGGTAACCATCTTTATAAAGGTGATAAGTATGGACGAAGTTTGGCCTTTGGTGTGCATTAAGTAGGTTCAAGTTGCTCTACTATAGTCATCAACCAAAGTAAGGAAATAATAAGCACCAGTTAAAGAAGGGGATTTATAAGGACCCCAAATATCAATATGAATCAACTCTAAGATTCGAGAAGACTGAATTTGTTTTATTGGAAATTTTAAGCGTTGTTGTTTTGAAAGCGGACATACATGACATATCCTACTTTCAGTATTTCTAGAGGAAAGTACATTCAGTTTGGAAATCACAAAGTCAGGGGCATGACCTAACCTATGATGCCAAAGTACATTATTGTCTGTGGAAGTAAAATTTGAAAAATGAAGCTGGCTGGTCTTGAGCTGTTGAATAAAAGGATGAGCAATGTGTGTTGATGTGAATTCATTAATGGTACTTTGCTGAAATGAAGTGTGATCAAGATAGTAGAGCCTATTGAGGACCTTTCCAACCGCAACAAGTTGCTTAGTCTTCTAGTCCTGCAATAAGCAGAAGGTGGTGGAGAAGAAACAATCAATACGAGAGTCGGTGGCCAATTTATTTACTGATAGTAGATTATACCTAAAGGCAGGAATGTGAAGACAGTCTGTGATTTCTAGATCATGTGATAAGTTGACTGTACCAATGTGTTTAACACATTTGATACTGCCATCGGGTAAGGTTACTGGTGTATATTGTGTCATCGGCTTAAAACAGGCAAAAAGTGCAAGCAAAGCTACCATATGCGTTGTGGCTCCCGAGTCTAAAAACCAAAACCTAAGAAACTTATCCACAGTAGAACTAACAGCATTAAGTGCAGTATAGTTAGTGATACCTGCGAAATCGTGGTAGTGTGCGAAGTTGATCCTTTCCCCTTCCGACAGGTTCACCTTGCCTTTCATCATCTTCATCAAGTTGTTCATCAGGAGCATCATCTCTTCATTGTTGTTGCCAGTGGAACCAGACTTCTCCACGTATTGATCTACACTTGCTGATGTCCCAACCAGATTCGCTGATTGCTTTGTTCTTGATGACTTCTTAGACTCTTTGTATTCTTCCCACCAATCAGGGTAGCCTACCAGTAGAAAACACTCACTCTTAAGGTGCCCATTCATCTTGCTGTGATCACACTTTAACAGTCTCTTGGAAGCTTTATCTCTTCTCATATCATTTTCTTTGCTAGATCCATGTGTAAACCTTGATGCACCAGACGTAGTACTACCTCCTCCTGATAAGACATAGTTGTAATTCCCTGTGTTGTTCTTATTGTTGAAGACTTGTTTCTAAGCTAACATGGCACTCTGCTCTAGTGGTTCCACAAAAGTCCGATGCATCATTTGTTGTTTTTCCACATTTAGGACCATAGAATAGGCCTTTTTAACTTTAGGCAATGGATCAAGCATAAGGATCTGGCTCCTTTGAGCACTATCGGAATCATTCAAACCACTAAGAAACTCCATCAACTTGTGACGATTCTCTCTACCAGTATTTTTATTAGCACCACAAGTACAATCATCAGCCGGATCTAAAAACATCAGTTCATCCCAAAGCCTTTTCAACTTAGAATAGTATGCACTTAAAGTCAAATTTCCTTGAGAAATAGTTGCTATTTCTCTTCTCAAATGGTAAATCTGTGGACCGTTCCTAGTTCTATAATTTTCTCTCAATTCTTCCCAGAGATCATGAGCGTTCTCAGCTAAATCATGATTATCAACTAATTCAGGTGAAATAGAGTTGAGAATCCAAGAGATTACCATATCATTGACGCGAAGCCATTGTTCCCGGTCAGGATCTCCGACTTCCGGTATCTCCTCTGTACCGGTGATGAAGCCGGTCTTGTTTTTTGTCCCTAGAGCCCTTTGCATTTTCTGACTCCATGAGATATAGTTAATCTCTGTCAACTTCGTCGGTATGATAACCAAGGACGAGTTGTCAGAAGGATGAAGCATCAATGGATGATGATAGCCTCCATAATTTGTAAGCTCTCGATCCTCTCGCCGCAATTCTTCACAACGATTTTCTCGTCGATTCGCAGCCA